TGGCACATCCAGGCTTGGCAAGTGAGAAGCAGTACTGGGGGAAGTGGCCCACCAGTCTGCTGCTTCTGAGGGAGAGCTGCTGAGGTCCAACAGCCATGGGGAAAAATCCTTAAAAAAAAACAAACACTTAAAAAAAAACCCCAAACCCAAATCCCCTCTCTGTAAAGATAACGTATGGGGAATGTGATTTAGCGACTGTGTGGGCACCGTCCTTTCTCAGTGCTGATGGAAGAGGCTGCTGGTGAAATCCCAGTGGGTGTTGTGCGAGATAAATGCAGAAAAGGCTCTTAAAGGAGGGAAGGTTGGAGTTGTGCTGTGTCCTATACGAACCCACTTGAAAATACAGCAAAGCATGAGAGCTAAGGACTTAGACAAGTGTTAGCATGCATGAGAAAATTGTATAGGCTTGCGTGAGCATGTGAATAGAAACTGGTTTAGTTACATTTTAGTTTTTAACTTTTCATCATTTTTTTCTGTAAAAAGTAGATTATTCGGATCACTTAAGATAAAGCTTTAATTCTCCTAAAGCAAACTACTCTTCAAACAATGAGGATCTCTTTAGATCTATTTAGTGGTTTGCACCAGCTAAACTAAAATCAAGTGGTGCCCTTTTTCCTTAAGGAAAGTTTGTGAAATCAGTGGTAAAACTCACCCCAAAGGTTTGCAGCCCTTAAGAACTTGGCAGACTAATACATCTAATCCAAAAATGCTCTTCAGAGGATGCAGGGGTGAGAGGTCAGCTGGTACCTGAAGGTCTTAACTTCCTTTGACTTGAGATGAGAGGCTATAATGTTTGCTTTTAAATCGACCCGCTATTAATAATCTAATAAGTCAGGTAAATGACCCAGCTAATAATGACATCACAATTGTTAACGTGCAGTTCTGTAATTCCTTACACGGTAGCAAGATCTGAGTTTGTCTTTCTTAAGTCTTATTCATTACACACAACTACCACTGAATTACAGCTCTATCACCCCCCTGTCTACCGTGCCACACTGCTTGGTATCCGGGTGCAATATGATCCATCTCTGGACACAGGTTTTTGGGGGAATTTTTCCCTCCCCCAAAATCCTCCCAAATTCCCCCTTCAATTGTCTAGTTTGTACTGTCTGCATATTGTTTACCTTGCACACTTTCTGAGACATACCATTCCATTTTAATCTTGATTCCTCTACCTAGATCCAATTAAGTCTTAGCACTTTACCCTATATGCAAATAATTGACATACCAGAGCAAGGTTTATCCTGTAAAATTTTTTTTTCACTGTTTTTATGCTCACATAGCATCCTGCTGTGAAGTTCTTAATTACAAATCATAGCCCTTGATGTGTCCTTTGGACAATGTCCTGGTATCCTGCAGTGGTCTTGTCTCTTCACGAGGCCCTGTACTCCAGCAAGACCTCTAGCTCACAAATTGTGACCCATTTCTGTAGTGTTAAGAGCTCTGATAGCTGAAAACATCTATTCTGTTACTTAGAGCATGTTTAGACTCGGTCGCTCTGGAGAGCTCAAGCAAAGCAAGTACCAAAATACCCAGAAATTCTTAATAAACAGCAGAATGGTGTTGTATGAGTTACAATATAAACAGTGTAAGAACTAGTACAGAGTTATTTGCTTCAAATTACGGGCCAATGAGAAACAGAGACTGATACTTAGTGAGAGGGTAAAAGACTTCAAAAATAAGGAAAAATTACTTGTGATTAAAACTGAACAAGACACAAAAGGGGAACGACAGCTCATCTTCAGCTATTGCAAACTGAATATACTTCAGTCCCGAAGTATAGGACTTGGCATAGTCATTAAAAAACTTAACTTGTATATGCTGATTTCGCACATGACTTGACTTAATAGTTCTTATGATGCCGCGGATAGTCCTGGAATGTATGGCCCACCAGCTCCAGCTGCACATAGAAAGTTGAAAATAATGCCATGAGGGCCTGTTGAAATTTTGAGTCATCAGAGAGTGCAGAAGAGCACAAGCTGCATAAATCATGGAGTGGAAAAATATTTTTGTACTATGATTTAGAAATAATTACGGAGAATGATGTTGAAAGTAATGCCAAATTTCCTGCTCATTACCTCTAAGTAAGTTTCCAGAATAACATACTAAAGATGATGACATCTTATAAATGACAAATTTTGAAGATGAGAAAGCTCTGAAATATCCAATTGACAGTGTTTTCCAATATTCTTCCAGAGCACAAGCAATAGAGTCCGCCTGACTTGAATGAACTTGAGTAAATTCTCTGTACTGTTGTGTTGAACAACAGTATAAAACTCCAGCAGTTTCAGCAATGGTGAAGAATTGTCTGTCATTGCTGGATAGAAAAACCAGGGTATGCATGAGTCTGTGGAAACCTCAAGAACACAAATTGGGATAGAATTTCTTCTGTAATATTTAGGGAACACTTTAGCCGTTGTTAAGGCAGAGCCATTTTTCTGGGTTGGAATTTCCTAGATATATCTGCAAATACCAGCAGAATATTCAGTCACTTTCATTTAAGTTAACTGGTGTTAATTTATATGGTACAGTAATTACAAACTAATCCATACAGTTCCAGAGGTTCATCCACGCACTACAGTTTATTTGATTAAGTCTCTGTATGTAATTGATGAGCTGCCTGTATGTTTGTGTGACTACTTCTTTTCTCCTAGTGTGTTTTGTAACTTTAGAGTATTTTTTACAATCTTTAAACTTTTGGTAATTTTCCATTTTCATGTCCACCTATGCTATCAAATCCTATGATATTTACAGAAAGGCATTCACTGTAGACCTTGGATGTCAAATAACATTAATTTTAGTATACGAGTTTAACTCATAGTGGGTTGGGGATTGCTTTTTGAGATTTAATGATTTCTAGTGTTTTATTTTGCTGCAACAGTTTCCCTCTTCCTGCTATTTCACATCTTTGGATCTGCAGTTCCCTTACTTAATGCAGGAGCTAGACCACCTCTTATTCCTAGCTTTGTGTTTTCTCAAGAACAAGAGGCAGCTTGTAAGAACCGTCCTTCCCTGATGCACAAGTCTCCAATGCTGACCTTCGGACATCTTAATTAAAAATCAGTTAGTTTGTTAGGGAAAAAATTGACGACATAATTAGAAAAACAGTAAAACATCGTTTCCTCAGGCTAATACCCGTAGGCCGGTATAACCTTCTGTCATCCATTTTGTCAGTATTGGTTAAGAGCGCGGAAGCCTCTTGATGATCTATGCATTTGCCTGTTGTGTTCTTCATTCTTTAAAAGAGCTTTGGCTGCTGCCAGGTAGGATGCTGGCCTAGTGGGTTCTTTGATTTGTTCAGTACAAACACTCATGCTTTTATGGTGTTATGTTTTTTATAAACTAAGAGGAGTTCTTGTGTTTCCTTCCTTGCTCACCTTTGGGTAAGTATTTCTGCTCCTATGCTTCTCTTTATGCAAACTGAGTTCAAATGTGAAAATCAAAGTATGTCTGGAACATGCTGCTATACAAGTTTTATTGATGTCTCTTGTTTTCAGTGATCTGTCAGAAAGTAAGGTTTTGTTTCAGTCTTACTGCCACTTTTTTATGCCATGTGCACTTTCACGCTTGTTTCTCCCAGATTCTCATTTACGTAGTAGGACCCTATCTCCTTGAGCTGTTTCCCCAGTCTAGCTAGTCTACATTGTTTCTTGTTTGTCATTAAGACCAACTGCTCAGATATTGACAAATTAAGATGTTCTGTGTTGACACTTTTTTTATGATGTTTGATTCTCTATTTAAGGTAAAACACATTTGTTGTAATGCAGACCATGATCGCAGTTACGCGTAGTGAGTACTGATTCATATGCCAGGGAAGGCATTGGAAAACATCTGTTTCCTGGGTCTGCGGTCTAGATGATTCTAAATATTCTTATTCGTTAGTGTCAACAAATGGTACTCCAGTTATTGTTGGTAGCACTGTAGAAATCTTAGATTAGGCTGTCAAAGTGCTTTACTGAAGCTTGCTCCGGGTTCCTGGGCCGTGTAGGCACATTGTGAATTTTGTTGAAGATGAAGAGCCTATGCCAAGCTACTTGCGTTGCTGGGAGGACAGAGCAGAGGGGGCTCTTGGAAGGACACTATTACTACGCCTCTGCATGGGAATTTTTAGTAAGAAGCAAAAGATTTAGTTGAAATTAGGGTATAGATGATGAGGAAAAGAAGCTTTGGAGAGTGGGCCTGCTACTCATTCTGCCGCACGGTCCCTCGTTCCTTCAGTGGCAGTAGCACTGAAGCAGCCCGCTCGGCTTTCCAGGGCTTTGATTGATGAAGGTAGGCAGTGAAGCCAGGCTGTTTTGCCATTCCCCTCAGGCTAGTGCCAGAAGCAATCTAATCTGCCTTTTGCTTGCAGATAACTGTGATAATACGTTAATTAAAGAGACACTTGTATTATTAACATACTACATAATTTTAATTAGTAAATAGTTATTTTCGAGACATATTTTATTATTGGAATGAGTATGAGTCAACAAGAACAAGCAAGTCAGAATTATTCTTTTTCAATTTCATGTTTATTAAAATATAAAACTAGTGGCAAGTCACTTTTAGTCACTTTGCTGCCTGAGAAGCAGATCGGAGAGTAGAGAGTCCTTTGTTGCCCCATTCAGCAGGTAGGGAATTTCTCCTAGATCCTTCACAACTGAAGTGAGTGAGGTTGGAAGAGTGGTGAGATGGATGGAGCTCATCTGTTTGGACCAGGAGTCTGCAACAGGTACCAGGTGCAATGGAAGTTTCTTCATGTCTTCTATGACAGACTCACACTAGTAGTTGGGGTGGGAGTCCTGAAGAGTGTCTATACTGCTCTTCAAGAATGAGATTCTAGACAGGGCGTGTTTCTAAATTGCTTCTCATATAAGCAACTGCTTCCCAGAGATCCCAACTCCAAGTGGCAGGGGTTGGCTTATGCCCTCACTGTAATTACTAGCTCAGTACTGGTAGTAAAGCAGTCTGGCTGCATCCATACTGTGTGCCTGGATGTCTCCTCTGGGTCTCTTGTGTTGCCGCTGTGGCTGAAATAATGCAAAGGCATGAAATAGCCCTCCTGAGTGTTTTTATAGCATGGAACTGAGGCTATATATGTCCTGGGATGTGGTTTATGAGATATTTGAGGGGCAAAAATTGCTGCAATAATGTTGAAGGATGGTAGAGAATGGGGGGAGTCAATTGCAGAGTGGACGCAGCAAACATGGTGCGGTTTCAAACAACTGACTTTTGTGATCATTCCCTCCCTGGAGTAAATTGTTCCCAGCACTGTGCCTGTAGTTTGTCTGAGAGAGAACAATCTGGAACTGCCAAGAGTAGGAGAGTAATAAAACAATTAAGCAATACTTGGGTATGTCTCATGGCCCTATAACATTTCGCAGTGTAGATATACCCAAATAATCAGTTATACTTGGAGGGTCACGTCCAAGTGCACCTAGGGGCTCTCTTGCAGGCTTGCTCTCTATGTGAACTGCGGATCTGGTCTTTCTGGCAACCTTGGATTTCCTCTCAGAAAATTATAAGTATTTTATAAAGCTTCAAAAGGAAGTTGATATTGATTTCATTTAAGTCCGTGACAGCTCTGTCATTAGCTTTAGGAAGCAAATTTTATCCTTAGCGAATTGTTTTCTTCTTTTTACAATCGTAGTGTTCCGTTCCTAACAAACTGCTGTACCAAGAATTTTTTCTGCAGCTGAAGTGGCAACCTGGTATGTGATAACAGCTACCACTTGGTGGCATCCACTCCATACTTTATTTAGCTGAAAACTCCACAGCCAGCAAGCTGAGAAAACTTTCTGAGTTCCTAGCTTGATATTCTATAGGTATTTAAAATAGCTAACCTTACACTGGTCTTGATTGGTATGCTCAGGGCTTGACGTGTGCATGACCCAACTTCTGCTTGTATTTTAGTGTGGGAGTATACACATTTACTGACCTTGCAATTGACTCAAATAATCAAAGCAAAGTGATTAAACTCGAGTTTTGTCCTGTTCTTTGGAAGACTGTACAACTATTTTTTATTCACAGAAAACCTGTTTAAACTCTGGGACTCTTGGTCTTGACCTTGCTGTGTACTGCAGTTTAAAACAAGCTTTAATTTTAGATAACTCAATTAGAAGCAAAGATAACATAGATCTGGTTAGAACAAGAGTGTACTTGAAATGAGTTCTTGAATCTTTAATTTGCACTTTTCAAAGGAAAAATATTCAGACTCATTCTGGAAAGTGTGTAACATTAGCAGGTCCAGAGGAGGGCCACAAAAATGATCAGAGAGCTGCAGGACCTCTCCTATGAGGACAGGCTGAGAGAGTTGGGATTGTTCAGCCTTGAGAAGAGAAGACTCTGGGGAGACCTTACAGCAGCTTTCCAGTATCTGAAGGTGGCCTACGGGAGAGCTGGAGAGGGACTTTTTACATGGGCATGTAGTGATAGGACCAGAGGTAATGGTTTCAAACTGGAAAGGGGTAGATTTAGATTAGAAATTAGGAAGAATTTTTTGTCTCTCAGGATGGTGAGGCACTGGAACAGGTTGCCCAGAGAAGCTGTGGATGCCCCATCCCTGGACGTGTTCAAGGCCAGGCTGGATAGGACTTTGAGCAACCTGGTCTAGTGGGAGGTGTCCCTGCCCATGGCAGGGGGGTTGGAACTGGATGATCTTTAAGGTCCCTTCCAACCTAAGACATTCTGTGATACTATGATTAGCATTACTAGTAAATTAAGGTTTATGAGGAGATGTAAACAGCTATAGATACACTTTAGCTGCCTTTTGACATTTAAAAGAGACATCAGAAATATATTTCACCAACCAAAATCTTATTTTAGAGATCTCTATCTGTCTCTAAAATGCTATATGGCACGAGTCTCATTCAGTTTGATTCTCATGAGTACCTAACTTCAGATTTAAAGTTGCAAGCTCATCCTTATTGTATTTGTTGACAAAGTACTGTGAAAAGAAGCAAGACAAGTTGTTGTTTTTTTTTTTTAATGATTAGTAAATAAGAATAAATCAGGTCTTTGGTAGCTTAGTGTAGATATCTTTAAGTGGGCGGTTTTTCTGATTGTATTAGTCTGATGTAAGGAGAATCAAGAACTTTTCAGCTGTTCAGGACTTGGTCTGCAAGTCCTGGTCTCTTTGGGGAACATAATGTAGTAATGAACATGGTGTGACAGCTAAATAAATGGCATTTGGCAGTCAGTGGAATGGTACTAAAACTGTATTTCTACTTTTGAATATTTCACCCATAAAATCCACTTTTGATGGTAGTGAAGTTAAAAAAAATTACCCAAGAAATCCAACTGCATTATGCAATGATAACTGAATGGTAGATGACATTTGAATCTTATTCATTGCTTTCACACCTGGATTATTTGACTTCTGCTTGGAGCTGAGGTTAGAAGGTTTGAGGGTTGTCTTTTTTTTTAAAATTTAAAGGAAATTTTATTAGCCATTTCTAGATCATTGAAGAGTTGGTGGAAACCAGACACTTCCCAGCATTTTTTAAACATTTTTTTCCTACTAAAGAAACCAAAATAAAACTGAAAAAAGATTTCTAAAAAGCTGATAAGCAAATAGTCGTTATTAATAGATGAGATTGCTACTACTTTTGGAGGCAAGAAAAAAATATTAAAACTTTACACATAATTGAAACTCGCTGACTTATTTTGGTTTTTTTTTCAGCATAACCTGATGAATCTCCCATTCCTCTCTGTGGCCTGTATCAGTGCGGTGAAGCTTGTGCTTTAAAAATGCAATCATGATCCTCTTTTGCTATTTTTCAGTTTTATGAAACAAGGTAAAGAAATAATCTGAGTTAATTTCTGCTTGGAAGTTAAGTCTGTTTGATAATCCCAGGAGCAATGCATGACACCGTTCCACATTTCCACCAGAATAATCAGTCACTTTATGAAATGACTGTGAATTCAGAGAACACT